ACGCAAAGTTGTGAAAAGTTTGACGAGAGCGGCGCGCGCAAAAGCAAAAGCCTATTGGAATCGGCCGAGCTCGGCCGGGCTCGGCTCCGCTCGTTTGCGATTGTTGCTGTGTCGGGCGGGCTGGCTTCGCTGGCTTCGCTGGCTTCACCGGGCTCATGGCAACGATTTCGCTTTGAAGTCCGCTGCTCTGCTGGGTGTGTTGCGTCATTGCACATTGTTTCTGATTCGCATTAAGGCGGCAACTCTCATCCACGCGAGGCGAGACGAGCGAGACGAACAGAACGAGCTTTTGCCGCTCCATTCCACGACTAATCAGATTGCCCATTGTCGCGTCGTTTCGATTCGCGTTTAATTTCGCTTGTTATCGCTGGCCGCGATGCAGCGCGTGCTCTTTAATGGTGGCGTGTTTTCCATTGTTGTTGTTGTTGTTGTTGTTGTTGTTGTTGTTGTCTCGAGAAATTGCGCGCGAAAATGGCGCGACTCGTGCCGCTGGAAATGCAACAGGGTGGGATTGGGGGTGAGTAATTACCTGTCATGTTAGCGGTAATGAGGCTGTCAGGCCGCCCCGCCCCGCCGCGCCGCGTCTCGGTGACCAGCGGCACCTCCCAAGTGACAGCCCGACAGGAGTGAAAGCTTGACAGTTGCATTGCCGTGGGCCCAGCCCTCCAGCCGACGGATTCCGGGAGTCGTTTTCGTCGCCCTGTCCCTCTCGCACCTGTAGGGGACGCCCCATGAGAGTGAGAGAGACGAAGAGCGACTCTCGGAATCCGTCCACAGCCCTCGGCGCCGTCGCCGTCGGCCCAGCGGCGCGTGATTTCGCAGCGCCCGGATTACGCGTGTCGTCCGGCCTTCGACTGTTATGACGTCATTTTTGAACTCGTCCCTTTCTTTTTATTATTTGTTGTTTTTTTTTGAGTGTGTGATAACCTTTTTCCGACAGCCTACGTCAGTATCAGCCCGGCAATTTTGCCTTTGAGAAGCGAATCCTTTGGAAGCTACTACTTTATGACGAACTAGACGCCGTGGAGCGAATTATCGATTTCATGTTGTTGTTTCGCTTTGTTGCAGGTACGTGAGGGGCTCTATCGGGAAAAACTGGGAGTGGCATGCTGTGAAGGTGAGACGCAAAGGAAGGGCTGCTCCATTTAATTGCTCGTGGATCCGGTGAGAGGGCAGCAAAGGACGCGGCAAAAGCGCGTCTCCTTTGAATCCTGGCAATATCGGTTCATTGCCAGGAAAATATCTTTTGAGATTTCCAGAAGATTTTTCTTGTGTTTCATTCCTTATCTGGTGGTGATGGCTCTGCGTTTTCGCTGGCGTGAGTCGTACCGACGAATGAACAAACTGCTTCGGAACCTCCAGTATGCGAAGTGAACAGCCACAGCAACCAGCACAATCGCCGCGTCGGATAAATGTTTTTTTTTTTCAAAACAGAAAAAAAGCTGTGTTTTTTTTTGTCCGGACATGTGAGGGGAATGCGCGTCCGAACGCGTGTTACTGGCAGATGGTTCGAGTGCAGGCAGGCCGAGGCAAGCCATGGCAAGCCCCCCCTCCCCCTGCCCGTTTCCTCTGAGCTCTCCGGTCCTGCCTGCTGGTACCGTCTGCTTTTCCTAATCCCGCCCTCGTATCGGCAGATAGGCCCTACGGTGGGCCCTTGACGCTGGCCCGGCCGCCCTACTGGGCCTGTTTGCTTTCAGTTAGGCCCCGGCCTCCCCCCGCCTCATCCCCCTTGTCCGGAAAGGGATTTGGATGAATTCGGCCCGCGTGTTTCTGTTTTTATCCGATGTCGGCGTTGTTCCCTCGGAAACTTTGTTCGCCGGCCGGATGAGCCGGCCGGGGCAGCCAGCGGCCGGAGGGCGGCGGAGCGTGGCGATGCAGGGCGCTGCAGGCCGGCCGGGGCGGCAAGCGTCACGGGGACCACCGCGTCCTGCAAGTTTCAAAGGCGCTGTCTGCCTGCCCGGCCCTGCCGGCCCTGCCGGCCCTGCTGGCCCACCTGGCCTGCCTGCAACTTACTCGAGGCGCTCTGTGATGCTGCCCGGGCTGCCCAGGATGCCTGCCAACCCCTCGGGGCGCGCGCCCGGCGCCTGCTGACAGCGCCCGTTTAAACTTGAGGCTCCTGCCAGTGGCCTGCCCGCCAGCCCGGAGTGCGTAGCGCGGCGTAGCCTAGCCGCCTGCAGACTGATTCCGAGAGTCGTTTCCGTCGCTCTGTCTCTCTCGGACTCACGGGGCGCGCCGTGCCGGTGCGAGAGAGACGGAGCGCCGAAAACGACGAGCCCGCAGCGCTGCCCCGCGCGGCGGGTTGCCTATCGCCGAGTCCGCGGGCGGCGGCGAGGTGGCAAGGCCGGCCGAGGCCCGCCAAGTGCAGTGGAGTCGGCTTATAAAAGACCGAGCAGTGGCGCTGCTGGCGCTGCTGGCGCCGCCGTGGCGCTGCGGTGGATCCCGCCGGCACCGTCGTTCCTTGTCGCTCATAAAAGTTTCACCTCGCCACGACGGCCAAAATAAAGAACCCGTGGCAACGGGCGAGGGGGAGGGGGGAAGCCGGCGGCGCGGATTTGCCATCCTCGTGTGCTCCCCCCGGAGCGTCCCGGACCCATCATTGTATCAACAGCGAGACTGGTGTAATTAAAGTGATCCAGAGAGGGAGCGAGAGAGGCGGACGCGCGGACGGAGAGAGAGGGATGGAGGGAGTGAGGCCGGGCGGTCCGGCCGTCGGCCGGTCTTTGACGTGGTCGCACATGCGAAGTCGCTCCAAATCGGATGGGAAGTTGGGGCGGCCGGCGAGGGGCGGGGCGGTAGTCCGGGCCGGTGGTGGCCAAGCCGCACTGACCGCGCGCTGCGGTGGCTTCGATGAACGTAGTCTCGCATGTTACTTTAGAAAAAAATATATGAACCGTTTAAAAAAATGTCGTGGAATGAAATTGAAATAAAAAAAATTACACGGTGATTCATGGGAAACGTTTTTATATTTAACAACTTCGTAATTAATTGACGTCAATTTTTCATCGTCCGCAGCGCGCCTACCCTGCGTGTGCCTGTTTGTATACCCTGTGTGTGTGCGCGCGTGTGTGTGTGTGAGAGAGAGGGGACTGGATTACATGACGCTGCCCCGAGGCGCGACACGCCGCGCGGTGGCCTTGTCATTTACACAGGCCGCTCTAGCTGCTCGTCGGACTGCAGGCTGGGAAATCAGCCCTGCTCCCGTGGCGCGGCGGGGCGCGGCGGGGTGTGGTGGGGTGCGGCGGGGTGTGGTGGGGCGCGGCGGGGTGTGGTGGGGTGCGGCGGGGTGTGGTGGGGCGCGGCGGGGTGTGGTGGGGTGCGGCGGGGCGAGGTGGGGCGCGCGGCCGCGCCGATTCACCGCGCTAACCTCAACCACCCCAAAGCCGCCCTCAACACCTGTCCCGGGCGACCACTTGGCTGGCTGCTCGGGCTGGCCGCCGCGCCGCGTTTCATTCGCAACCGAAATGAGCACTCCGGCAGCACTATGATGTGCCTCGCCTCCCCCTCCGCCCTTCTCGATGGGGTAATGGACGGGAAATGAATAGGAATTGAATCAAAAATCCATTTCAACGACCAATCGATGCCGCCCACCCTGCAGGTGCGCGGCAGCGCGGCCGCGTTACACGAGCAATGGCAAGACGCCAGTGGATAGCTGCGCAAAACTAGCGTTCTTGCCTGAGCTAGTTTGCGCACTGATATGTCCGCCCGAACAGTGTGGTTATTCCCTTGTCCCCAGTGCTCTAGTAGACCGACGCTTGGTGGGAACCGCGCGTGGTCCGGCGCCGCGCCGCCCGCCCACGCGGCTCATGTATCCCCACTGTAATGATGTGGTGCAACAAGGAGGGGGGAATATCGGGAGGATAATGCATTAGCCTCGACGAGCAAGTTGGTGGCGGCGTATCGAGCACGCCGCCGTCGTCGGGCCACGGTGGGGCACTTGATGATGCGCTCGGGCGGGCCGAGGGCGGGCCGAGGCCGCACCGAGGCCGTGCCGGGCCCTGAGCCGCGCGCGCACTGCCATGCGTTAGCGGGTTTGGTTTCGTCCCATCATCAAGTTTGTAACACCAACTTTTCAACTTTTCAACAACGAAGCCAATTTACGGGACAAACTTTGGCGCGCAAGCGGCGCCCGCGCTCCACGCTCGGTAACCTCGTTCTCCTTTGACCTCCACTCGCCTCGCGCGGCGCGCACGGCCAACCCGCACGGCCAACCCGCTGCACCGCGCGCCGTGGCCGCCGTGTCACTGCGTGTGTTTGCCGGGATTACAAGCCCTTGCGGCAGGCGGGCGCCGCCAGCTATAAAAGGCGAAATATGAAAAAAGTGTCCGGAAAATGTGAAAAATGGAAACGGATTGAGGGCGGTCCATCCGACCGCACCGCGCGCCAATTACTCCGACGCGATGCGCCTTTGAAAGCCGGACTGAATGGGCGCGGCCAGCGTATGTACGCCGAGTGTGTGACGCGGGCCGCGCGGTGGTGGCCAGCCTGCCGTGAGACACGCCGTCTCTCCCGCACCCCCGCCCGTGCGAGGGGGACAGAGAGCTCTGTATGGAATGAGCCGGTAGGACGGCCCTCCCGCAAGGATGTGCTGAATGCCGAAGCGCTCTGCCGTCTGATTCCCTAAATGGGCGATCGGCGATAAAGTCAATCAAAAAGCGCGGCGCGACGCACGGACTGGCCGCATCAATGAAAGGCTGCCTGAATGGGCGGCCGCGCGGACGGTGTGCCGCGCTGATGGCAGATTGGAGTGGCGTGCAGTGAATGCGGACGGACGTCGGACGGACGTCGGGGACGTCAGCGACAATGACGCAGGTGTGACGTCGCTCGCGTCGCCGCGCCGAGACGGGCTGGCCGCGCCGCCTGGACGTCACACAGTGGGCCAGAAGACCGGTGGAGGCGGCCAAAATCCCGGACGCGTTTGGAGCTCCAGAGTCGCTTAGTGAGACTCGAACCGAACGTGACCCCACTCGTACGTGGCCCCACGGATTGCTCTCCGAACCAACTCAGTGAAATAATCAACATAATCCGACACAATGACAATCATGCTTTCGGAGATTCAATCACGTTTTGTCCATTTTTGCGAGGCTGCTGCTCCCAAACTAGCAGCGGTCAAAGCCTTCCCCAGTCAGGGCATGAAAGAGTAGGGCCTTAAGAATACTAGGGCGTTGAGGGAGGCCTTTGACCGCAGCTAGATTGGACGCACTGGCCGCCTAAAGTCAGCAAAAACGGCTACTTTCGGAGATTCAATCACGTTTTGTCCATTTTTGCGAGGCTGCTGCTCCCAAACTAGCAGCGGTCAAAGCCTTCCCCAGTCGGGGCATGAAAGAGTAGGGTCTTAAGAATACTAGGGCGTTGAGGGAGGCCTTTGACCGCAGCTAGATTGGACGCACTGGCCGCCTAAAGTCAGCAAAAACGGCTACTTTCGGAGATTCAATCACGTTTTGTCCATTTTTGCGAGGCTGCTGCTCCCAAACTAGCAGCGGTCAAAGCCTTCCCCAGTCAGGGCATGAAAGAGTAGGGCCTTAAGAATACTAGGGCAGCGGTTCCCAACCTTGGGGTCGCGACCCCGAATGGGGTCGCGAAAAAATTTCGAAGGGTCGCGGCGAGGTGGTTGGGGTCGCCTGGGGTCGCGACTGTTTCCCGGCTGGCAGAATTGTTCAAAACGGTCGAAAATGCCTTTGAAAACTCGTGTTTTGGGCCGACTTTAAGCAGCAACTGCGTCTGATCCGAGGCGGGCATTTTGCTCCCTCAACGGGCAGTTGGTCTTTGGACCTTCCTTTAGCATGCCTTTGTTACGGAGTGCAATTATCAGTCTTAGTTTGGGAGCAGTATTGTCTCAAAGTTGGCCGAAACGCTCAGAAATGTCTATGAAAAATCGTGTTTTGGGCCGATTTTAAGCAGCCACTGCGTCTGATCCGAGGCGGGCATTTTGCTCCCTCAACAGGCATTTGGTCTTTGGACCTTCCTTTAGAATGCCTTTGTTACGGAGTGCGATTATCGGCCTTAGTTTGGGAGCAGTATTGTCTCAAAGTGGATCAAAATGGCATTCAAAGGCATTTTATACTGTTTTCATCAACTTTGAGACAATACTGCTCCCAAACTAAGGCCGATAATCGCACTCCGTAACAAAGGCATGCTAAAGGAAGGTCCAAAGACCAAATGCCCGTTGAGGGAGGACGAGATACCGCCTCGGATCAGACGCAGTGGCTGCTTAAAGTCGGCCCAAAACACGACTTTTCAAAGACATTTGTGGCCGTTTTGATCTACTTTGCGGCAATACTGCTCCCAAACTAAGGTGGATTATCGCACTTTGTATCAAAGGCATGCTAAAGGAGGGGTCGCGTGGGGTCGCGAAATTTTTCCTGGGGGTCGCGGAAATTTTTTGTATCAAATTTGGGGTCGCGAACCGAAAAAGGTTGGGAACCGCTGTACTAGGGCGTTGAGGGAGGCCTTTGACCGCAGCTAGATTGGACGCACTGGCCGCCTAAAGTCAGCAAAAACGGCTACTTTCGGAGATTCAATCACGTTTTGTCCATTTTTGCGAGGCTGCTGCTCCCAAACTAGCAGCGGTCAAAGCCTTCCCCAGTCAGGGCATGAAAGAGTAGGGCCTTAAGAATATTAGGGCGTTGAGGGAGGCCTTTGACCGCAGCTAGATTGGACGCACTGGCCGCCTAAAGTCAGCAAAAACGGCTACTTTCGGAGATTCAATCACGTTTTGTCCATTTTTGCGAGGCTGCTGCTCCCAAACTAGCAGCGGTCAAAGCCTTCCCCAGTCGGGGCATGAAAGAGTAGGGTCTTAAGAATACTAGGGCGTTGAGGGAGGCCTTTGACCGCAGCTAGATTGGACGCACTGGCCGCCTAAAGTCAGCAAAAACGGCTACTTTCGGAGATTCAATCACGTTTTGTCCATTTTTGCGAGGCTGCTGCTCCCAAACTAGCAGCGGTCAAAGCCTTCCCCAGTCAGGGCATGAAAGTGTAGGGCCTTAAGAATACTAGGGCGTTGAGGGAGGCCTTTGACCGCAGCTAGATTGGACGCACTGGCCGCCTAAAGTCAGCAAAAACGGCTACTTTCGGAGATTCAATCACGTTTTGTCCATTTTTGCGAGGCTGCTCCTCCCAAACTAGCAGCGGTCAAAGCCTTCCCCAGTCAGGGCATGAAAGAGTAGGGCCTTAAGAATACTAGGGCGTTGAGATGGTCTTAGACCGCAGCCAATTTGGCCGCAGCGGCCGTCCAAAGACAGCTTTCCGTTTCTGGCGGCCAATAATCTCCAAATGTTCCTAATAATCAACATAATCAATCCCATATAAGCAGTGATATTCAGAATAATCAAAAGTATTCCACATAACATATTCTCTATAATTTTAATTTTAAAGTGTTCCAGTCGAATTCCGTAGCCGTTTGGTCGCCTTAACGGTTCCCTAAACGGACAGTCATCTCACCTGCACCTCACCCGTTTTTGACGCGCGCGCTTGATTTCGCCGTACTTCCCCGCGGTTCCCAGCCCTCGCGTCCCGGACGTAAGGAGGCCCCGGAGACAGGCTGACGCACGCCACTGGAAGCGCTGGAAGAAACATGAGGCGGGGAGTAATCTGGCCCATTTGGAGGCAGCGTAGGTGTCTCATTAGTCCGGGCCAGTGGCTGCGTTTGGTTCGTGTGTGTGTGTGTGTGTGTGTGTGTGTGTGTGTGTGTGTGTGTGTGTGTGTGTGCGTCATTTTCTCTGCCTGCCAGCCCGTTATGCCGTGTCTGGTTATCACGCTGGGCGGCCCAGAATATATATACGGTAGGCAGGCGTCTCCAGCCCCTGTTTCAGGCAGTTCCAGGGCAGTTCCAGGGCAGTTCCAGGGCAGTTCCACGAACTGCATCATGCCACTGCTTTGCTTTGATTTGCCCCGCCAAAGGAGCGTGTGTTCCGTCTTCTGTTCCTGCGAATTGATTTCTCCCCGGCGCTTCTATAGTACTTTCCTTTTACTCGTCCTTGAAGGCCGCCGTTGTTGTCCTTCGATGGGTTAGTGGCGCAAAAAATAGGAAAGTGTGTGCTGTTGCTCTTTCTGGGCGGTGCCTACGCTGCCCGGCGCTGCCCGGCGGTGCCGCGTCCATCTGCTTGTTGACAGACGACCCCCCTCGGACGCGGCCGACGCGGCGCTGGGGACGCCGGACAGCCGGGCGAGTCCTTCTCTGCCTCTCCTCGCCCCCGCAGCCCCGCAGCCCCGCACGGGACGCTCCACGAGTGCGACAGAGTCGGGCTGACCAAAAGTACTGTTCGGAGTCAGTTCGCTGGGCGACGATTGAAATAAAATCAGTGCAATCAAAGAGCTGTCCTTTCCAGCGTCCCTCTCGTTGGTTTGCTGCTCTTCTTATCACCAGCAAGACGACGGCTGTCACGCTCACGCTCTCGCTCTTGTTTTCTGCCGTACAGCGCGGCGCTTAACGTGGCGTGGACACAAAGAGAGAGATAAAGTGCGAAATGTGCGGCAAATTGTCGCAAAGTGTATCACGCTTCGACGGGCACCTCGTCGACGAAATTGAGCCCCGTCCGTCCCTCCTTTTTTGCCGTCGTGATGAAAAGGACGCCTCGCCCCGCATGCCGGCGACGAAGTGCCTGGAATGCTGGCCAGCCAAGCCGGGCCGAGCCGGACCGAGCCAGACCAGGTCGAGATGGTTTGCGATATTGGCCGCCTCGCTTTGAGTACGTCTGTGCACGCCCTGTTGGATGCCGGTCAATGTTTGGCCGCCCTTTCGGCGACGCCACTGCCCTCCATGACACAGACACAATGCTCAGTGCGCCGGAAGACCGGTGCAGGTGGCCAAAATTCTAGACGCGTTAGTTCTAGGGTCGCTAAGGGACTCGAAACGAACGTGTGACCCCATCAATGGATTGCTCTCCGAACGAGGAATCCATTGGTGGAGTCACACGTTCGTTTTAAGTCCTGTTTAGCGACTCTGCAGCTGAAAACGCGTTTAGAGTTTGTGGCCGCCTCCACCGGTCTTTAGGGCCGCCGCGCCTCACTTAGGGTGACGCGGCGCACCTTTCAAACAAGAAGGATTGCCGTCCGGGGACGACCCAGTCCTTCTTCATCACGGGGTCCAAAACTTTGTTTTGTATCATTCCGGCCGATTCCGGCGCAACGCGCACAACGCGTGTGCTCTGTCTTCCACGCCATTGCCTCCGCAAACTTCCTGCTCATATTCAGCAACGAAAGAAACTCTTTTGGCCTCCCCTCGAAGCCGTCCGTCGGTGTGACTGCGCGGCCGACGAAAAAAAAAAAAAAAATGGGGCTGACAAAAAAAGCGCGTGTGTCTTGTTGGCTGGGCGGCGTGCCTCGGCGATGCTCTGCAGAGCGATTTCGAACAGTGCTCTCGACGCTCTGTCTCTCTCGCGGCCCTGAGGGACGTCTCGAGAGTGCGAGAGAGACGCGGCGACGAAAGCAGTGTTCGGAATCAGCCTGCCGGGCTGAGCTCCTCGCGTCACAATCGGCGACGCGTCATCCTGGGCGACGCCATCCTGGGCGACGCCATCCTGGCCGCCACGGCGCGGCCGCGCAGCCCGCGCAGCCATCCCGGCTGCCGCGGTGACAGCGGGCCTTACGTTTGAAAGATTGCTGTCGGATTGGGGCGTGGCGGCGAGGGGCGGCGAGAGCGTCACCGCGTTGCCCCGCGTTGCCTGGCAACCCAGCCGCCGCCCTACCTTCTCGTGCCCGAGGCCCGAGGCAGTGTGTGACGCGGGGCGCCGAGGCGGGGCGGCAGAAACCCTATTCGAAAGCAACTAGCTGGCGGCGCGGCGCGCGGCGGTCTCCGGCACGGCAGCCACACCGCCCTCGCTAGAAGCTGCCCAAGTTACGACGCGCTGTGCTTCCCGCAGATCGAAAGTTGAGGCCGGGAGGGGCGCGGAATAGACTCCAAGGTAACAGTTGGCCTTGTCTATTATCTGGCCCCACCACTGGCAGACGGTCCCGCCCCGCCCGGGGTCCCGCCCCCGCCACCCTGGAAAACGATCCAGGAACCACGCGTTAAAAACGCCGTGGTTGGCACTGCTGCGCAGAACC